AGCGGGACTGCGGCAGGCATTCTGACACTGGGGGGGGGGAACTGACTTGGTGTCACTGACATCCCCAGTGACACCAATACAGTGATCAGTGCAAAAAAAAAAAAAAAGCACCGACACTGTACTAATGGCACTGGGCAGGAAAGGGTTACCATCTGGGGCGATCAAAGGGTTAACTGTGTGTGTTCAGGTTCTCCGGGGGACAGAGATCCCAGAGAGGCACTGGCCGAAGGGGGGGGGGGGGGGGGGGGGAGGGTGATAAACAAGTTATACTTACCTGCTTTGTGTAATGGTTTTGCACAGAGTAGTGCCGATCTTCCTCTTCTCAGGTCCCTCACCAGCACTTCTGGCTTGGCTCCTCCCCCCCAAGAAGTGCCCCATAGCAAGCCGCTTGCTACGGGGACACTAGTACATGCTCGCTCCCAGCCCTCTCTCTCTGCATGCATAAGAAGCAGCAGAACGTGGCTCGGGCCCGCCCCCTACTCCCTCCTCATAGGCTGTGATTGACAACAGTGCTGTGTCTCAGCCAATGAGTAGGGAGAGAGCCGGGGCTCCCGTGCACATCGCTGGACCAAAAGTATATTTAAAAAAATATATATATAGCAACTTTATATAAGTTTATAAACTTTTTTTTTTGTTTTATACAATATATATATATATATATATATATATATATATATATATGAACTTTTTTTTTGCTAGAAAATTACTTATAATCCCTAAACATTTTATTTATATATATGTAATGTTTAGGGATTACAAGTAATTTTCTAGCAAAAAAAAAAAAAAGTTGATTTTAACATGTGTGTAATATTAAAAGAAATTTCCTGGACAGCAAGTGGTTGAGCTCCGGAAGGTTTTTCTCCCTTCATGACCAGGGCATTTTTTTTTTCCTTTATTCAGCACTGTGCTACTTTTACTGACAATTGCACGGTTATGCAATGCTGTACCCAAACGAAATTAATATCAATTTTGTTTTTTTTTTCGCACAAGTAGAGCTTTCTTTTGGTGGTATTTGATCACCTCTGGGTTTTTTATTTTTTGCAATATAAATAAAAAAAAGACCCGGAATTAAAAAAAAAAATACACTATTTTTAATTTCTGCTATAAAATATATCCATTAAATTTTAAAAATCCAATTTCTTCATAAATTTAGGCTAAAATTCTGCTGTGTGCCTTTTGGTAAAAAAAAAAAAAAATCCCAATAAGTGTATATTAATTGGTTTGTGTAAAAATTGTAGTCTAGAAACTATGGTATATACAGGAGGGGGGGAATAATTATTTGACCCCCCACAAATTTTGTACATTTGCCCACTTACAAAGAAATGAAGGGTCTATAATGTTTATCTCAGGTATATTCTAAATGATAGATACAGAATATTGACCAAAAATCCAGAAAAAACACGATACAAAAGATTTTAAATTGAGTTGCAGTTCAGTCAGTAAAATAAGTATTTGATCCCCGAGCAAAACAGGATGTACCTGGTGGAGAATCCCTTGTTGGCCAGCCCAGAGGTAAGACGTTTCTTGTAGTTGCTTCCCAGGTTTGCACACATCTCAGGAGGGATTTTGGTCCGCTCTTCTTTCCAGATCTTCTCTAAATCCTTAAGGTTTCTTGGCTGTCGCTTGGCAACTTGAAGTTTCAGCTCCTTCCATACATTCTCTATAGGATTAAGGTCTGGACACTGGCTAGGCCACTCCATGACCTTAATGTGCTTCTTCTTGAGCCGCTCCTTTGTTGCCCTCGCGGTATGTTTTGGGTCATTGTTATACTGGAACACCCATCCATGACCCATCTTCAGTGTTCTGGCTGAGGAAAGAAGATTCTCATCCAAGATTTTACAATACATGGCCCCTCAATGCAGCAAAGTGCAGCAAAGTTGGTCTGTACCTTCAGTAGAGAAACAGCCCCAAAGCATAATGTTTCCACCTCCGTGCTTGACTGTAGGGATGGTGTTCTTAGGGTCATAGTCAGCATTTTTTTTTCCTCCAAACACGGCGAGTTGAGTTAATGCCAAAGAGCTCAATTTTGGTCTCATCTGACCACAGCACTTTCTCCTAATCCTTCTCTGAATCATTTGGATGCTCACTAGCAAACTTCAGACGGGCCTGGACATGTGCCTTCTTCAGGAGGGGGACCTTGCGGGCACTGCAGGATTTCAATCCATGGCGGCGTATTGTGTTGCCAACAGGTTTGTTTGGTGACTGTGGTCCCAACTGCCTTCAGATCCTTCACAAGCTCCTCCCGTGTAGTTCTATTCTGATCCTTCACTTTTCTCATGCTCTTCCTTACCCCATGAGGCAAAATCTTGCATGGAGCTCCAGACCGAGGGCAAATGATGGTAATTTTGTATTTCTTCCATTTGTGAATAATCGCTCCAACAGATGTCTCCTTCTCACCAACCTTCTTGCTGATGGTCTTGTAGCCCATTCCAGCCTTGTGCAGGTCTACAATCTTGTCCCTGGTGTCCTTTGACAGCTCTTTGGTCTTGCCCAATGATGGTGAGGTTTGAATGGAAAAATGGATACCTGTGGACGGGTGTCTTTTATACATATAAAGAGTTAGGAGCGCCTTCTTAACCCCTTCGTGCCGGCGCCTCCCGGCCCTTTAAGGGTTTCAGAAGCCGGTGGGCGGGGTTTAGGGGCATGTGACTGCTGTGAAACACTGTCACGGCGGTCACATGATCGGGAAAGGTCCTGATCGAAAGAGGAGATTGGGACCTTTCCGTGAGTACCAGGCATGTGAGCTGGGAGCGCAGGGCGCGCGCGCTCTCAGCACATATGTTCTTTTTTAATAGAACGCAAATGTGCGGCCGCTCGGCGTCTAGGCCCAGGTGCCGGGAGGCTGCACATTTGCATTCAGCCGGCATGAAGAGGTTAAATTGACTGGACTAATCTGTGTACCACATGAGCACATAGCCAGCCTTTTGGAGCCAGAATCATTGTTGGTTGGTAGGGGATCAAATACTTATTTCACTCACTGAACTGCAACTCAATTTCTAACATTTGTATCCTGTGTTATTTTTTTCTGGATTTTTGGTTGATATTCTGTCTCTATCATTTAAAAAAAAAAAAAAAAAAAGACCCTTCATTTCTTTGTAAGTGGGGAAACTTACAAAATCTGCTGGTTGATCAAATTGTTACTTTCCCCCGCTGTATATTGGAGTTTGTTGTTTATACTACTAATAACGGTGATCAACAACTTAAAATCAGACTGCGATAATAGTCATAATTACATAGTTAGTCTGGCTGAAAAAAAATCCATCCAGTTCAACCATTAAAAAAAAAAAAAAAAAAGTTATAATCCTACACCCACAGTTGATCCAGAGGAAGGCAAAAAAACCCAGCAAAGCACGATCCAATTTGCTCCTGCAGGGGAAACAATAACTTTCTGATCCCTGAGAGGCGATCGGATATTCCCTGGATCAACCAATATAATGCAGCGAGCAATCTGACACTAACTGACACTGAGGGGAACTGACACTGATATCACCAGTGACACTAATACAGTGTTCAGTGCTAATACTGTACATTGTCACTGTACTAATGACACTGGCTAGGAAGGGGTTAACATCTAGAGAGATCAAGGGTAAATATGTGCCAATGTGTGTATTATGTGCTGATTTTACTAACTGTTCTCTTTTGTTTTTTATTTGTGCTTTGTACAAAGGGATCTAACTGTTTTACTCTGCAGATTTTTGGTTTTTTTATAATTTGTTGCTTTGTAACAAAGGGATCTGCATCCAGCCTCTCTCTTTTTCTCATCCCTGCAGAGTCCTGTGTTGTTCCTTGTGTTGATTGTCAACACAGGCTCTAGGCTGTGATTGGAAACAGCCGATCAGCAGGTCCCTGCTGATGTGAATCATTGGCCAGCACCTGTGTACAATCACAGCGGGTGTCGGTGGGAGGGGCCTAAGCCGCAATGTGACTGTAGCAGTACGTGGCTTTGCCTCTCTCTGTTTCTCACGAGGCCGCCACAGGGCTCTGGGCTGCAGCCGATACAGAAGGTCCCTGCTGGTCCCAGCAAACACAGTTAATGACAAGTACGTGTTTTGCACGGGCCGCCCATACGCAGTACATTGCGGTCCGGAAGCTGTTAATGAAATTGGTTTTCAGATCGCTCTCTCCATGGTGATGTGCATCGCCGCTCCTTGTACTCGCTAAAATAATCGTCGTTTTTCTCAGCCTTTCATCTCTCTGCCTCTCCCCTCCACACACCAGTCTACTTGGCAGAGCGGCCAAAGTACACAGCGTCTTGTTTGACAAGAAATTTATTTCCATTTGTTACCGAGGATCTCGTGTTGTGGAAATATAAAAAGAACGAAGATATTCTGTTCGGGTCGGATGAAGAAAGTGCTTGGCTTGCATTGTTCCCAATTTAGGATCTGGAGCCAGAAAGGAATTTACTAACAACCACAATTCCAGAATCTGCCAACATTCTCATTTCATCTTCTGTAGTCCTTGCCTCCAGCCATTGGCATATTAATGTATAGAATTGTCAGATGTCGGAACAAACAACCATTCCTGTAGTAACCAATCAGATTCCACCGTCCGTTTACTATTCCGTGCTGACTGTCAACCAACAACAAAAGCTGATTCTGTGAACCAATCCAATCGCTCGTATTTCAGATACTTTTGTTTTATGAACTGTAGTCAGTCAGCCTTCAGTTTAACCACTTGAAGTCCGGACACTTCCCCCCCCCCCCCCCCCCGGACACTTACCCCCTAAACGTACCCCCCCCCCCCCCCCCCCCTTCCAGTCCGGACACTTACCCCCCCCCCCCCCCTTCCAGTCCGGACACTTCTCCCCCCCCCCTTCCAGTCCGGACACTTCTCCCCCCCCCCTTCCAGTCCGGACACTTCTCCCCCCCCCCCTTCCAGTCCGGACACTTCTCCCCCCCCCCCCTTCCAGTCCGGACACTTCTCCCCCCCCCCCCGCCAGTACCGACACTTTCCCCCACCCAGTCCGGACACTCCCCCCCCCCCCCCTTCCAGTCCGGACACTTTCCCCCCCCCCCCCCCTTCCAGTCCGGACACTTTCCCCCCCCCCTTCCAGTCCGGACACTTTCCCCCCCCCCCCCCCCTTCCAGTCCGGACACTTTCCCCCCCCCCCCCCCCCCCCTTCCAGTCCGGACACTTTCCCCCCCCCCCCTTCCAGTCCGGACACTTTCCCCCCCCCCCCCCCCCCCCCTTCCAGTCCGGACACTTTCCCCCCCCCCTTCCAGTCCGGACACTTTCCCCCCCCCCTTCCAGTCCGGACACTTTCCCCCCCCCCCCCTTCCAGTCCGGACACTTTCCCCCCCCCCCCCCACTTCCAGTCCGGACACTTTCCCCCCCCCCCCCCCTTCCAGTCCGGACGCTTTCCCCCCCCCCCCCCCCTTCCAGTCCGGACACCCCCCCACCCCCTTCCAGTCCGGACCCTTTCCCCCCCCCTTCCAGTCCGGACCCTTTCCCCCCCCCTTCCAGTCTGGACCCTTTCCCCCCCCCCCCCGTTCCAGTCTGGACCCTTTCCCCCCCCCCCCTTCCAGTCTGGACCCTTTCCCCCCCCCCCTTCCAGTCTGGACCCTTTCCCCCCCTTCCAGTCTGGACCCTTTCCCCCCCTTCCAGTCTGGACCCTTTCCCCCCCCTTCCAGTCTGGACCCTTTCCCCCCCTTCCAGTCTGGACCCTTTCCAGTCCGGACGCTTTCCCCCCCCCTTCCAGTCTGGACCCTTTCCCCCCCCCCCTTCCAGTCTGGACCCTTTCCCCCCCCCTTCCAGTCTGGACCCTTTCCCCCCCTTCCAGTCTGGACCCTTTCCCCCCCCTTCCAGTCTGGACCCTTTCCCCCCCTTCCAGTCTGGACCCTTCCCCCCCCCCCCTTTCCAGTCCGGACACTTTCCCCCCCCCCCCCTCCAGTCCGGACACTTTCCCCCCTTCCAGTCCGGACACTTTCCCCCCCTTCCAGTCCGGACACTTTCCCCCCCCCTTCCAGTCCGGACACTTTCCCCCCCTTCCAGTCCGGACACTTTCCCCCCTTCCAGTCCGGACACTTTCCCCCCTTCCTGTCCGGACACTTTCCCTCCCCTTCCAGTCCAGGCCAATTTTCAGCTTTCAGCGCTATCACACTTTGAATGACATTTGCGCGGTCATGCAACACTGTACCCATGTTGATCTTGTGAGAAATGTAACCACTTGAGGTTTTAACCCCCCCCCCCCCCATGACCTGAGCATTGCTATTCATCTCTGCGCCACGTTATCTGGCAATTGCTCGGTCGTGCAACACTGTATCCAAATTAAGTTTATATAATTTTTTCACACAAATACAGCTTTCTTTTGGTGTTTGATCAACACTCCGTTTACTTATGTATTCATTTAAAATTCTGTTTATTAACCACTTTCCCCCAGTTCCTGCCCGGCCAATTTTCAGCTTTCAGCGCTATCACACTGTGATTTTTTTTTTTTTTAACATTTTTTTTTTTTTTAGACAGATAAAACTTTATTTTGGTGGTATTTATTCACCACTGGGATTTGTATTTTTTTTTTTTTTTTTTTGCTGTATAAATGAAAGTTCCAAAATTTAGAAAAAAAAAAGTGTTTTTTCTTCTAAAATTTTGCAAATAATTTTTCTTCATAAATCTTGGCCAAAATGTATTCAGTTATCTTTTTAGTAAAAAAAAATAACCCAAATTAGTTTATAACCAAAAATCATAATTTTTTTTTTAAAAAGCTTTTTACATTTTTATTTTTTTATATTTGTTTTTTTTTTGGGAGGTTTTTGGTTTTGTTTTTTTAACATACTGTCACCTAGCAGTACAGTGTCACCATAGTGACACTGTACTACTACTTGTGGGGGGTGATTATGAATTTTTTTTTTTTTTTTTTGTACACTGATTGCTTTTACAGCCTTTATTGGTGCAAAAGCAATCATGTCTCCTTCTCTCTGGCTGCATTCTTGATGTTTCTGTGATTGGTCACAGCTTGTCACATTGTACAAGGCTGTTGTGAATAGCCCTGTACCATGTGATCTCTGTGATCATTCACAGATTTCACATGTAGTAAGCAATGATGTCAGGAAGTGACATCTTGTTTACTACTGTTCATGTGATCGCTGATTGGCCAATCAGTGATCACATGATCGGGACCTCGCACAGAGGTCCCGTACAGCGATCAGTGTTTCTCCGGACACAGCAAGCACCGGATCGCGGTGCCGCACGCTCCCAGGGAGCGTGCACAGGCTGTGAATGCGGGCGCTGTTTATAAACTGCAACCTGCTCCTGCACTGCTCCCGTCCGGCCGTTTATGTACATGGGGGGGACGGGAAGTGGTTAAAGCAGAAGTAAAAAATGTACAAACAGTCCGGCTATTTATTATAGAAGACATGAAGCGTCTCTTCTGCATGAAATAAACTTACCTGCCTCTTTGCAATTTTCTGCAGAATGTACATTGAGCTGCACTTGCTGTGGGGGATACATGACCCCCGCACATGTGTGGGAGTGACGTCATCCTGCACTGGCCAATCAAGATGGGCGAAGACCAGCACCCAGAAGAAGTTGGGGAAGAGATGCCGGCGAGGGACCTCACTAGCCCTCCAGTCCAATTTTAGCTTTCTGGAGCATTAAAGGACAAGTTCACCTTTCGTAACATGTTACACCCATATTCAGGCTGTAACATGTTACCATCTGACAGCCCCCCCCCCCCCCCCCTCCTCTTCTCCCCCCTCGTTAGCTGTCAAATTTTTTAAAAAAAAGTGGCCATGCGGAGCTCCGCCCACACGGCCGCGTCACTCATTCACAACATTTTGTGAATGAGCGACTACAAGTCCCGACAGCCTTAGCAGCTGTCAGCTTGTAGCCCTCAATAAACTACCACGGCGCTGTGGAGCATCATGGTAGTTCATTGATTCCTCCTGTCAGTATTTGCTTGCTCACACATCCCATACGGCAAGCAGATATTCTGGCAGGTCTGCAGGAGACCTGCATGGCACCAGCCATCTACTGATCACTGGTGCAATGCTTTCCAGGCTCCTGCAGACAAAAGTAATAAATGCTAATTTTTTTGCAGATTCAAAAAAAAATGTGTATTTATTATTTTTCTTGAAAAGATGAACTTGTCCTTTAAAGTGTTACTAAACCCCGGACCCTGCATTCGTTATATCTGGTCTCCCCGGACCCCGCATTCACTATATCCGCTCTCCCCGGACCCTGTATTCACTTATATCTGCTCTCCCCGGACCCCGCATTCACTATATCCGGTCTCCCCGGACCCTGCATTCACTATATCCGGTCTCCCCGGACCCCGCATTCACTATATCCGCTCTCCCCGGACCCCGCATTCGCTATATCGGCTCTCCCCGGACCCTGCATTCGTTATATCTGGTCTCCTCGGATCCCTGCATTCACTATATCTGGTCTCCCCAGACCCTGCATTCGCTATATCCGCTCTCCCCAGACCCTACATTCGCTATATCCGCTCTCCCCGGACCCTGCATTCGCTATATCGGCTCTCCGCGCGAGCCCCGCATTCACCGTGTCGGCTCTCCGCAGGCCCCGCATTCACCGTGTCGGCTCTCCGCGGGCCCCGCATTCACCGTGTCGGCTCTCCGCGGGCCCCGCATTCACCGTGTCGGCTCTCCGCGGGCCCCGCATTCACCGTGTCGGCTCTCCCCGGGCCCCGCATTCACCGTGTCGGCTCTCCCCCTGGACCCGCATTCACCGTGTCGGCTCTCCCCCTGGACCCGCATTCACCGTGTCGGCTCTCCCCCTGGACCCGCATTCACCGTGTCGGCTCTCCCCCTGGACCCGCATTCACCGTGTCGGCTCTCCCCCTGGACCCGCATTATTGTAAGGCTCTATGGACTGTTACCGTGTCGGCTCTCCCCCTGGACCCCGCATTCAGTGTCGGCATCCCCCTGGATATCACCGTGTCTGCTCTTGGACTTCTCATCGTGTCCCCCTGCTAATCACCGTGGTTGGAATCCCGTAGTAGGCTCTCCCCCTGGATTCCGCTTTGACTGTCCTATGGAGGCTGCCCTCCCCCTGGACCCCGCATGACCCTCCCCCTGACGCGCTGTGTCGGCCCTCCCCCTGGACCCCGCATTGCCGTGTCGGCCCTTGGCCCCGCATTCGCCGTGTCGTTGGACCCCGCATTCACCGTGTCGGCTCCCCAAACAAAAAATGGAAATTATTTAAGTAAATATAGACTGTTAAAAAAAAAAAACCTTACTAGCAATACACACCAAACTGAGCAGAAGGATTGGGAACAGTAGAAGGGGAAGATCAGAGAAGACAGGATCAAACAGCATTTTTACACAATTTGGAGGATTAACCCCTTAGGTTCTGCAGTGAGTATAACAAGCATGCTTTACTGCTTCTACAGACTACAGGCTTTTCAAGAACTGGGCAAATTCATGCAATGTATGGTCAGCTTTGGGCCATGAGGAGGCTGCAGCCCGTCTTCAGTTCAGTAACTGTCTACAGGAAAGGACTAAACAAATGTGTGAAGAAAGAAAAAGATTCTCCACTCAATGCTTTAGACCATTGGTGGGCAAGTGTGGCCTTCCAGCTATTGGTGAACTACAAGTCCCATCATGCCTCTGCCTTTGGGAGTCATGCTTGTAACTGTCAGTTTTGCAATGCCTCATGGGACTTGTAGTTCTACAACAGCTGGAGGGCCACAGTTGCCCACCCCTGCTTTAGACACCGGATGGGGGAATCACGGGAGAACCTGGATGATGTGGGCATTGGGAATAGTTCATCATTTGGGCTTTTATATCTCTCGTTGACGTCGAGGCTTCTCTGTCTTTCAGAAGGAAAACTGTTACCTGAGGATCTGACGCACTATGTTGTCCCAGACTGCCAAGTGCTGCAAGATTACCAGGAGGTGCTGGAGTGTTCAGAGATCCAGGGAGTCATCGTCATGCAGACGGCGGGTCACGCTGTTCAGCATCAGAGAGGCCGCAGGTGAGGTTTCCAAACTTTTACACCATAGAAAGGCTCCATTATCCTGCATCAAAACCAATCTGTGTAAAGAGAACCTGTCACTAAAGCCAAAAGCTATTTTCCTATTACCTCTCTTGAGCACGGGATCTGGAATTGGAGAGTGCCACAGTCTTATCCCCCTTCCTGCCCAGGCCAATTTTCAGCGCTCTCACACGTTGAATGACAATTGCACGGTCATGCAACACTGTACCCATATGAAATTTTTATAAATAGAGTTTTCTTTTGCACTGGTGGTGCTGCACTCATATGCAGCACTGATGGGCACTGTTGAGGTGGCATGGATAGGCAGCACTGTTGGGCACTGATGAGGCGGCACTGGTGGTGCTGCACTGATATGCAGCAATGATGGGCACTGATCGGCAGCACTCATGGGCACTGATGAGTTGGCATGGATAGGCAGCACTGATGGGCACTGATAGGCTGCACTGATGAGGCGGCACTGGTGGGCATTGATGAGGAGGCACTGGTGGTGCTGCACTGGTATGCAGCAATGATGGTCGTCACTGATAGGCGGCACTCATGGGCACTGATGAGTTGGCATGGATAGGCAGCATTGATGGGCACTGATAGGCTGCACTGATGAGGCGGCACTGGTGGGCATTGATGAGGAGGCACTGGTGGTGCTGCACTGATATGCAGCAATGATGGGCACTGATAGCCGGCACTGCTAGGCGCAACTGCTGGGTGGCACTACTGAGCAGCACTGATGGGTGGCACTGATATGCAACAATGTTGGGCACTGCTGGGAGGAACTGCTGGGAACTGATTATCAAGGCACTGATCATCAGTGCCCTGATGATCGGTGCGGATGTCCTCTGTGTCATTTGCTGGTTATCATCAGTACTTAGTGCTTAGTGGCATCTGTATTTACATTGTGATCTATGTCATTGGACACAGCTGATCACGTGTTAAAAGGCTGCTGTGATTGGCCATTTACCTCATCTTGTGATCAGCTGTGTCTGTAGGGCACAGCAATCACGGAGAGCGCTGGGGGCGTGCAGGAGGGCGCGTTCTGAGAGGACGTCATATGACGCCCTCCCGGAACTGGACAACCGCACCGTAGCCGTCATTCGGCTGTAGCGCGGGTGGCAAATGGTTAAAGTGTTTTTTTATGCACCATCCTGAGGAAGTGGCCAGTGTAGCACCACGAAACTTGTTGATGGTGTTTTATACTATTCTGTGAGCAATCAATTGGAATCAATGGAGAATCCATTTTGCAGGTCCCCCTTCACATTCGTGCACCTTTGCTGACACCAATAATGGTGTAAACCTCCTGCGCTTCTACCTATGATAGATTCAAAAAATAGGGAGAAGCTGCTAACATCCAATTATATACCAAAATGATCGAGGTAAAATAAGATGAAAAGGAAATGATGCAGCGCTACTCCAAAGATACAAATCATATGATATGACCTAATATATATATATTATAAATAAATGTGAAAGCAATATATACAAAGTGACACAACGTGGAAAAGAACATAAAAGTGACCCGATCCTCCTGGGATCTTCAGATATCTGTGACCTGATCCTCCTGGGATCTTCAGATATCTGTGACCTGATCATCCTGGGATCTTCAGATATCTAACTGTGACCTGATCCTCCTGGGATCTTCAGATATCTGTGACCTGATCCTCCTGGGATCTTCAGATATCTGTGATCTGATCCTCCTGGGATCTTCAGATATCTAACTGTGACCTGATCCTCAACGGATCCAGAAGTGAACACAGTGGATACTAAACCACCACAAGGATGGTAATAGCAGAGTTATGTGAACCAATACTAAAACGTATGGTATAAAGGTGAATAAATCCTGAATGGGATCTGAAGTGATGGTGAATATATATATTTTTATTTAAAAACTTAGTCCAAATGGGGACTAATAAGTCATATGTCCAACAATTAGGACTCAAATTAAGAAAACCGCATAAAACCGTTTTCAACACCAATTTTGGACTTTTCTCATAAATATTTGTTGTTTTGGGTCATGCGTTTTTTGCATGATATAGTCACACAGATAGACTATTGTATAGCGTTTTTGTTTGTTTATTTTTATCAGATGTGCTATATATTTTATGTTTGTTTATTTTATAATATATAAACACTATCTGTGTATGGAAGTATGGAAACACTATGTAGTGTTTGGGGTTTTATTTGATTGTGCATGGTTTATGCACTTGCTTGTTAATGCGTTTTTTCTTAATTTGAGCCCTAATTGTTGGACATATCACTTATCAGTCCCCATTTGGACTAAGTTTATTATATATATATATATATGTGTGTATATATATATATATATATATATATGTGTATATATATATATGTGTATATATATATATATATATATATATATATATATATATATATATATATAGAAAAACATATGTAGTGTTTGGGGTTCATTTTTTTTTATGCATGGTTTATGCACTTGCTTGTTATGCGTTTTTCTTAATTTGAGCCCTAATTGTTGGACATATCACTTATCAGTCCCCATTTGGACTAAGTTTTTTTTATATATATATATATAATATATATATATATATATATATATATATATATAGAAACACTATGTAGTGTTTGGGGTTCATTTATTTTTTTTTGCATGGTTTATACACGTGCATGTTTTATGTGTTTTTCTTAATTTGAGTCCTAATTGTTGGACATATCACTTATTAGTCCCCATTTAGACTAAGTTTATATATATTTTTATTTATATTCACCATCACTTCAGATCCCATTCAGGATTTATTCACCTTTATACCATACGTTTTAGTATTGGTTCACATAACTCTGCTATTACCATCCTTGTGGCGGTTTAGTATCCACTGTGTTCACTTCTGGATCCATTGAGGATCAGGTCACAGTTAGATATCTGAAGATCCCAGGATGATCGGATCACTTTTTACATTCTTTTGCACGTTGTGTCACTTTGTGTATATTGCTTTCACATTTATTTATAATCTATATATTAGGTCATATCATATGATTTGTATCTTTGGAGTAGCGCTGCATCATTTCCTTTTCATCTTGTTTTGCTGACACCAGATTCCCATCTTTTGGGGCTCATAAACCTCTTATTATGAATTCCTGATAAATGGGGATCTTGAGGCCGGTGTTTTTTGTTTTTTTGTTTTTTTTTTTTGTTTCCCTTCCCCCCCCCCTCAGCCATGGAAAAATCAGTATGTGTTTTCATTACCTAGTTCATTAGAGGTTTGGGGTTGTGCTTGTGACAGAGATGCAGATGAAGCACATCCTTGTGGCTGGTTATCTTTCCAATCAATTAGAATGAAGGAAATCAATACTTACATCAAATAGGAGTTTAAAAAAAAGGCGATATCTCCATTAATTCGTTCAGGAAATAGAACACCTCGGCAAATAAAAGCATGCTGGTAATGGAGGTCATTAACAATGACTTGGTGTGCATTGGGATTGGTTGGGAAATATTAATTGTATATTATTATAGAGATGAGGATAGCCAGTTTAACATGTAAAAGGCATGCCGTGCCCTTCAGGGGATGTCCATTTGTTATGTGTTCTAAATCCCAGGAAGGAATAAAATTTCCTTCGCAATCAATTGCCTTTCATGTTGATTAACGTAAGTGGTTTAGGATCGATTTTAAGCTAAGAACAATTATCTAAAGATTTAGAATAGCCACA